ATTTCACCAAATTAATTTAATCTTTAATCTTTTCATGAGAGGGTGCACCTAAAGGTTTGGTATTTTTATTCAATGAGTGTCTTCGAAGAGCATTGAAAATTTAAAATCTCATTACACTGTCACTGCCATATAGTGTTTCACTTCCTCTGAAGAAATAACTTCAAAATCCCAACACATTTCAGATCACATAAGGCCACTAGATTCTGTTTTTGTTTTTTTGTTTTTTTAATGATTTCTTCCAAATCTCTTAGCAGGATAGCTAAGAACCAGATGGTCATAAACCAGCAACTATTCCACAGTGACTGAGTCAGCTGGAAAGACAAGTTGTTCCAACTTAATTCGAGTTGTCTTTTGTACTGAACAATCAGTAAACAGAAATGTCTCCCATTATCCCCAAAGCAAATTGACTGCTCACGAAACTGCTGGACTGACATCACTCGAAGCTGAAGCATGATGTTTATCTGCAGACCATGTGACTCTGAGCAGCAGTGAATATTTTACCTAATGTCACACCCTAATTTAACTTCTTAAGAACAGTACAGTGGATTTCCTCCTTTGTACTGGATGTAAACTAGTTGTTATTTGGGTTACAAAAACTATTTTTTAACAATCTGAGTCATATTTGATTATAGAAGTAAACAATCTCTCAAATCTATCAGTTGTTTTACTGGCCCACTTCTATCAAATTAGCTGTATTACCACAAACAGAAAAGTTCTATAATCTGGGGTGAGTACCTGAAGTATAGAACCTTTAAATTAGGGACCCTTCCTTCATTATTAGGCATAAATTGAGTCCTTTCAAAATTAAATAATCCACATGGTTTATAGGATTTACTAATCAGGGAATAGGGATTTTTTTTAAGGCAAATAAAAAGCACTTTGGGTGAAACAATACACACACATTAATTTGAGATTGAACATACTTAAAAAATACCAAAAAAAACCCCCAAACTCAAAACCCAAAAATCCAAACAAAAGTCCAGGACTCTCTTTTGAAAGAATAGCCAAAAATGCAGAACTTCTCACTTGTATTCAACTATGTTTTATTTTTTTAATTTTTAGTTATTGATTTTTCAGGGGAGAGAGAGAGAGAGAGAGAGAGAGAGAGAGAGAGAGAGAGAGAGAGAGAGAATTTGCTGCTCCACTTATTTATGCATTCATAGGTTCATAATTGCATATGCCCTGACCAGGGAATATATTATTGTATATGCAACCTTGGTATCTGAATGATGCCCTAACCAACTGAACTACCCAGCCAGGGCTTCAACTATGTTGTACTCATAGAATCATTCTAACAGACTTGGTGGGCAATGGCAATTTATGGTTGCATGCACACTTACAAAATCACACACACGCACATGCCTTCACACATGCACACGCAGCACTTGTCATTTGCTCTCACCCCTCACCATCACAAACACAGAATAATCTATTATTTGGAAATTTTAAAAAATTTTCTCATGGTGCTACCCAATTAGTCTCTAAAATTTGTTTTGGAAAAACAGCAACTATTTCTTTGTAAAAAGAGAATGATAAATATATAACTATAACAAAACTTAAATATAAATTTTACTAATTCATGAATTCATCAAGCCAACAAGTTATTAGCACTGTGGTGCTGGGAACTCCAGGGTCATGTCTTTATTGCGCTTAATATCTGACAGAGTAGAGAGATTTTGAACAGGGGACATGAAGTCCTACTTTAGGATGTAATGGGAGCATAGAGCTGAAGTACTCAGATGAGGGGCAGGAAGCATGAGGAGCCTCCCCTGAAAATGGGAGGAAAGGAGATGGTTGGGTGAGGTTCATGTGCTGCGTAGATCAATAGTTTGTTCCTTCTGATTGCTGAGGAGTTCTTCATGGTATGAGTGCACCCCAGTTAGTTGAAGGACATAAGGGTTCTTTCCAGTTTGACATTATTATGAGAAAAGCTACTGTGAACATTTTTGTACAATGTAGGTGTGTGTGTGTGTGTGTGTGTGTGTGTGTGTGTGTATACATAAGTTTTATTTTTTTTCTGAGATAAATGTCCAAGAGTGCAATTGTTGGATTCTGTGATAATTACATGTTTAATTTTATAAGAAGCTGCCAACCATTTTCCAGAATGGCTATAGCATTTTACATCCCCACCTTCAAAATATGAGTGATCCAGTTTCTCCAAAACCTCACAAGCATTTGGTGGTGTTACTATTTTTTTTTTAAAATGTTAGCCATTCTGATAGGTGCATACTAACATCTCATTGTCATTTTAATTACCTTTTCACTGATGACTAACTAAAAATATTGGATACATTCATATGCACATTCATGTCTGCACAGTCTCATGTAAATAGGATAGTTTATATGCTGGGTATTTTCTTCTGTTCATTGTATTTTTTTTTACTTCTCCCACTTTGCTTGTCTTTTCCCCCATCTTCATTTTCCATCCATCTCATTATCATCTTCCCTTACCTTGTAATGCTTGTTAAAACACTCCCATTCTCTCTCTCATTTATTTTACAAAATGTGATTATTCAGTATATACATTGCTAGTTGTTTTGTTTGAAGAACTCAACTTCATAGAAATGTCTTCATGTTAATTGGTTTAATTAGAATTCTTTTTAGTGATTGCATATTATTTTAGGATAAGAATATATCATAGTTTGTTCAACTATTTCCTTTATAAATACTCACTGGTTTCGAATTTTGTTGTTGTTACACATAACGTGCGTAAACCTACACCCTGATGTGCTGGTACAATTTTCTATATGGGATATGCTCCAAAGAGGTTCACTGGGTCAAGGATATGCATATTAATTTCATAATAGTTGCCAGTTTTCTTGGCAAAAATAATTGAAACAACTCCCATTCCCACGAACGATTAGGAGGCTACACTTTTACCTGTGTTTGCATTAGAAATAAATGCCAGAACTCCATCTAATCTGGGCTTGAATCTTCTTGCTATTTTGACATCCCTGACTGCTTTATAGTCTGAGTTTTATAATTTGCAAGAAAAAGATTTTCAAATTCCTTTTTGTGTTCTAAGTCCTTTCTTCTATTCTATTGGCAAGTGCCATGAAGACTTTTTTAAAAATCATGCCATTGTTTCTTAAACATAATTTGTCACTAGCTTCAAGCACACTGTTATAGCTGCACATAAAGTGTGGTTTTAACCAAAGAAATAATACTTTCACGTAAATCATAATTTAAACCAGCATTCTTCTGTATTTATATTCGGATCTGGCTTTAGCCTCACTCTTCAGAAATTCTTATCTTGGAAATTAAGGCCATTCTCTTTGAACAAAGAGCCCTTCATTTCTCAAAAAGTCTTACATGAACCATGAAACTCCCTCTGCTGCCAAAAAATAAAATAAATGAATTTTAAAAAGGTTTCAACTTCAGACTTGCGGGTTACAACTCAGCCTGTATTTCTGGATTATGTCAGGCCATAATTCAATATCGTTCTTATCTGAAATAATCTACTCCAGTGTTGCCTATGTCTCCACAACAGGGCTCAGTACCATTTCAAAAATGGAAAACAGTACTGAAACTTGAAGCTTGAGACATATCACCAGTGGTGAAAATTACTCTATATCTTTTTTGGAAAACCAGTTTTCTGATTGTCATTGGTTTTAGTATGAGACATGATTTCAGAACTCAGAAAAAGTGAGGTGGTTATAGAGAGTTTGAAGATGGTTTTTAAGGAGGCACAAATACATGTGGATATTAAGATATGATCTTGGCAAGGTCGGGACAGGTTCTAGTACAGAATGGGGATTCCTATGACCAGTTAGCAGACTTCTGTGCAACTCCAAAAAGTCTATTTTAAATTATGAAATGAAGTCAGATGACGAGTGAAGAAAAGTATAGTGGAAGGAATAAGCATTCAATGAAAGAGGAACACTTTGATAAATGCTAATGGTTCAGTAAAATTGAAATACATGTAGGTGAGGAGGTGTGAGCAATTTGATCTAGGCAAAGTGACATTATTGGTTTTAGAATAACATAACCTGGTATTATTTATTCCTATAAACTTTAACTATACATAAAAAAGTTTATTTTTTATTTATTTTACATTTTTAAAATATATTTTTATTGATTTCAGAGAGGAAGGGAGAGGGACTGAGAAAGACAGAAACATCAATGATGAGAATCAGTGATTGGCTGCCTCCTGCATGCCCTCTACTGGGGATTGAGCCCACAACCTGGGCACGTGCTTTTGACAGGAATCAAACCTGGGACCCTTCAGTCTGCAGGCTACGCTCTATCCACTGAGCCAAATTGGCTAGGGCAGGGTTTATTTTTTTAAAGTACTCAATAAAGTTTCTCCTAAACACTTAGCTATTATTTTAAATTTATATTTTTCAAAGTCTGACTGCTTTTTGCTCTTATCCATTATAAAATGAATGCACCATTTCGTTATGCAAAATCTTTAAAAAATGATAACAAGACAACTAATAAATTACATAGCACAGGAATTGCAAAATGAAAAATACTGCAAGTTGAAAGTAGAAACTCCCTGTGTCTCGATACTTTATGAATTGGGATGCTCAAATTCAACCTGAAAGATATTTACTTGTACAGTGGGAATCCATGAAAGCAACCAATTGCTCGAAGTCCTACCTTGAAGGGCTGGGACAGGCCGAGCCACGCCACACTTTCTGCAAGGCAGCATGATTATGGCCAGACCAAATGCCTTCAGCTGCCACCGGCAAGAACCAGAATACAAGTCATAACCTTGACCTAACGATATCTCCCAGGCAATGTTTACTTAATTCTCCAGGCTTGGATGGAAACCTTAAGAGTACTCCGACCACCTCGGAGCAAAATCCAGACACAGACAGATAACAAAGAAGCACCAAAACGCCTGTAAGAATCACTACGCCGAGCTTCTTACTAAAATCTTCTGGGATGCATTCTCATCACAATGAGCCACCCTATTCATCGATGTATCTTAATCCATCTGGGCCTCAGAAGCAGCTCAGCTTCCTCAAGCCGCAGACGAGGCTGTAATTGCTTACCTGACTCGCAGGCAAATGTCTTGGAGGTTTCATCATGAAAGATAATTGCCACCGCATGCTTCTTTGTCTCTCGAGGCAGTCTGGTTATATTTTTGATGTTGTGCAGTTCCGTTACCTTGAAAGAGAAATATTTTTAACTTAGGGTACAGTATAGGCTGTATACCAGCGTGCTTAAACAAAATGATCTCTTACCCCCCTTTCCTGTGGATATCTGTACTCTTTTCTAATTAACTGCAGCCAAAAACAATACAGAACAGAGCAAAACGTCTTCTATTATGTCCTCAATTTTGGCCATTGTTAGATGAATTTTGATACAGCCTAAAATTATATAGACGAATAGCTCCGTGAAAGCTAGGACTCTGTGCTTTTATTAAAATTGTATCCGCTGCAGTGTGGTGATTGTTGGGGGGAGGTGGGCAAGTGGAGGTGGAAGAGGGTATAAGGGGGGGGGGCGTAAATGGTGATGAAAAAAATTAAATTAAAATATGGTATCTTCTGCAAACAATAGCAGTTGTGGCACAAGGAGACTCACAATAATTTTTGTTAAATATTGATTGGATTTAATATCTCACCTCTCTCCCACCCATCATGCAAGTTGCTGGTAGGACTATTGTCAGAAGGCAACTGACACCTGTTGATTGGCAGACAAAATCATTAAAATTTTGGTGTCAACATAAGCAATGGATGTAATTCTGAGAAAAATGCACATTGTGTTTGATTTTACCTTCACTTTTTTTATGCTTTTCCTTTGTTTATATAGGTCTGATAGTTTAACCTGCATTTTTTTCCTCCTAACAAAAAAGCGCTCTTTTAACATTTCTTGCAAGCCAAGTGTATTGGCAACAAATTCTCTCACTTTTACTTGTCTGGTAAAGTCTTAAATTTGCTTCCCTGTTGAATGATAATTTTGTAAGGTACAGAATTTTAGGTTGGAGGGTTTTCTTTTCTCATAATATTAAATATTTCTCTCAACTTTCTTCTTTCTTTTTTTTTTAATTTAATTTTATTTTTTTATTATTAGTTAAGGCATTAGAAATGTGTCCTCATCCTCCCCATTAACCCCTAACCTCCCCCTCCCCCCCCCGCCCCCCCCCCGCCCCGCACACTCATGCTCCCATCCCCCTGTTGTCCATGTCCATTGGTTTGGCTTATATACTTGTATACAAGTCCTTCGGTTGATCCCTTCCCCTTACCCTCGCCCTCCCCTACTTTCCTTCTGGGGATTGATAGCCTGATCACTGTTTCTCAGTCTTTGGGTCTGTCCCTTTTCATCAGTCTATGTTGTTCTCTATAATCCACAAATGAGTGACATCATGTGGTATTTATCTTTCTCTGACTGGCTTATTTCACTTAGCATAATGCTCTCCAGTTCCATCCATGCTGTTGCAAAAGGCAAGAGTTCCTTTTTTTTTTTTACTGCAGCATAGTATTCCATTGTGTATATGTACCACAGTTTTCTAATCCATTCATCTGCTGATGGGCACTTAGGCTGTTTCCAAATCTTAGCTATGGTGAATTGTGCTGCTATGAACATAGGGGTGCATATATCCTTTCTGATTGGCGTTTCTGGTTTCTTGGGATATATTCCTAGTAGTGGGATCACTGGGTCAAATGGGAGTTCCATTTTTATTTTTTTGAGGTAGCTCCATACTGTTCTCCACAGTGGCTGCACCAGTCTGCATTCCCACCAGCAGTGCAGAAGAGTTCCTTTTTCTCCACAGCCTCTCCAACACTTGTTGTTTGTTGATTTGTTGATATAGCCATTCTGACAGGTGTGAGATGATACTGCATTGTTGTTTTGATTTGCATCTCTCATATAATTAGTGACTTTGAGCAGGTTTTCATATGTCTTTCGGCCTTCTGTATGTCCTCTTTCGAAAAGTGTCTATCTAGGTCCGTTGCCCATTTTTTTTTATTGGATTGTTTATCTTCCTTTTGTTAAGTTTCATGAGATCCCTGTAAATGTTGGAAATTAAACACTTATCGGTGGTATCATTGGCAAATATGTTCTCCCATATAGTGGGTCTTCTTGTTGTTTTGTTGATGGTTTCCTTTGCTGTGCAAAAGCTTTTTATTTTGATGTAGTCCCATTTGTTTATTTTCTCTTTAGTTTCCATTGCCCTAGGAGCATTATCAGAGAAGAAATTCCTTTGGCATATGTTTGCGATTTCGCTGCCTGTGGATTCCTCTAGTATTTTTATGGTTTCCCGTCTTACGTTTAAGTCTTTTATCCATTTTGAGTTTATTTTTGTGTATGGTGTGAGTTGGTGGTCTAGTTTCATCTTTTTGCATGTATCTGTCCAATTTTCCCAACACCATTTATTGAAGAGACTGTCTTGACTCCATTGTATGCTCTTGCCTCCTTTGTCGAATATTAATTGGGCATAGTGGTTTGGGTCGATTTCTGGGGTCTCTATTCTATTCCATTGATCTATATGTCTGTTCTTGTGCCAGTACCAAGCTGTTTTAAGAACAGTGGCTTTGTAATACAGTTTGATATCTGGTATTGAGATCCCACCTACTTTGTTCTTTCTCAGGATTGCTGCAGCTATTCGGGGTCTTTTTTTATTCCAGATGAATTTTTGGAACTTTCATTCTAGATTTGTGAAATATGCCGTTGGTAATTTAATGGGGATTGCATTGAATCTATAAATTGCTTTGGGTAGTATGGACATTTTGATGATGTTGATTCTACCAATCCATGAACACGGTATATTCTTCCATCTGTTTATGCCTTCCTCTCTCTCTTTTTTCAGTGTCCTGTAGTTTTTGGCATATAAGTCTTTTACCTCCTTAGTTAAGTTTATTCGTAGGTATTTTAATTCTTTTGGTGCAATGGTAAATGGGATTGCTTCTGTAGTTTCACTTTCTGTAAGTTCACTATTGGTGTAAAGAAATTCCATGGATTTCTTAGCATTAATTTTGTATCCTGCTACATTGCCGAATTCATTTATTAAGTCTAATAATTTTTTGATGGAGTCTTTAGGGTTCTGTATGTACAGTATCATGTCATCTGCAAATAAGGACAGTTTTACTTCTTCTTTTCCAATCTGGATGCCTTTTATTTCTTCTTCTTGTCTGATTGCAATGGCTAGTACTTCCAGTACTATGTTGAACAGGAGTGGTGAGAGGGGTCATCCCTGTTTTGTTCTTGTTTTTAGGGGGAATGGTTTTAGTTTTTGCCCATTGAGTATGATGTTGGCTGTGGGTTTGTCATATATGGCTTTTATTATCTTGAGGTATGATCCCTCAATTCCTATCTTGCTGAGAGTTTTTATCAAGAAAGGGTGTTGGATTTTGTCAAATGCTTTCTCCGCATCAATTGATATGACTACGTGGGTTTTTTTCTCTCAATTTGTTTATGTGATGTATCACGTTTATTGATTTGCGGATATTGTACCATCCTTGCATCCCTGGAATAAATCCTACTTGGTCATGATGTATGATCTTTTTGATGTACTACTGGATCCGATTTGCTAGGATTTTGTTGAGGATTTTGGCATCTATGTTCATGAGGGATATTGGCCTATAATTCTCTTTCATTGTATTGTCTTTATCTGGTTTTGGGATTAGGGTGATGTTGGCTTCATAGAATGAGCTGGGAAGTGTTCCTTCCTCTTGGATCTTTTGACAAAGTCTGAAGAGGATAGGTTTTAGGTCTTCCTTGAATGTTTGGTAAAACTCCCCTGTGAAGCCATCTGGCCCCGGGCATTTGTTTGCTGGAAGCTTTTTGATGACTGCTTTGATTTCCTCCATAGTTATTGGCCTATTGAGATTTTTAGATTCTTCCTGGTTAAGTTTTGGAAGGTTGTATTTTTCTAGGAATATGACCATTTCCTCCAGGTTGTCTAGTGTGTTGGAGTAGTTGTTCATAGTATTTTCTAACAATCCTTTGTATTTCTATGGGGTCTGTTGTTATTTCTCCTCTTTCATTTCTGATTTTGTTTATTTGGGTCCTCTCTCTTTGTTTCTTGGTGAGCCTGGCTAGAGGTGTATCAATCTTGTTTATCCTTTCAAAGAACCAGCTCTTGGTTTTGTTGATCTTTTGTATTTTTTTTTTGGTCTCTATGTCGTTTATCTCTGCTCTGATCTTTGTTATTTCCTTCCTTCTGCTTACAGTGGGCTTTTTTTCGTTGCTCTCTTTCTAACTCTTCGAGTTGTAGAGTTAGGTCATTTATTCTCATTGTTTCTTGTTTCTTGCAGTAGGCTTGTAGAGCTATGAACTTCCCTCTCAAGACTGCTTTTGCTGTGTCCCATAGGTTTTGGATTGTTGTGTTTTCATTGTCATTTGTTGCCATGATGCTTTTTATTTCTTCTTTGATCTCACTGGTAACCCAGTCGTTGTTTAATAGCATGCTATTTAGTCTCCATGTGTTTGATTTTTCTGGATTGTTTTTGTTGTAGTTGATTTCCAGTTTTATGCCTTTGTGGTCTGAGAAGATGCTTAATATGATTTCAATTTTCTTGAATTTGAAGAGACTTTGTCTGTGACCCAATATATGGTCTATCTTTGAAGATGACAAATGTGCACTTGAGGAGAATGTATATTCTGTGGCTTTGGGGCGAAATGCTCTGAAGATGTCAATTAATTCCATCTGATCTAGTGAGTCATTTAGGATTGATGTTTCTTTGCTGAGTTTCTGTTTAGAGGATTTGTCCAGTGGTGATAATGGGGTGTTAAGGTCCCCTACTATGATTGTATTGGTGTCAATCTCTCCCTTGATCTTCTCCAGAAGATTTCTTACATATTTGGGTGCTCCTATATTGGGTGCATATATATTTACCAGAGTTATTTCTTCTTGTTGGACTGCTCCCTTTAGTATTATGAAGTGGCCTTCTTGATCTCTTTTTATGTCCTTCACTTTGAGATCTAATTTGTATTGCTACCCCGGCTTTTCTTTTAACTTCCATTGGCCTGAAAAACCTTTTTCCATCCCTTCACCATCAGTCTGTGTGCGTCTTTTTTTCTGAGGTGGGTTTCCTGTAGACAGCAGATATATGGGTCATGTTTTCTTATCCACTCATTTACCCTATGCCTTTTGACTGGGGAATTTAATCCATTTACATTTAAAGTTATTATTGATAGAAACTTGTTAGTCGCCATTTTTGTTCTTT